TCAAAATTTCACATTGTCAACAAATCTCAAAAAAGTTGGTACAAGTAGCAATATAAGGACTCATTTTCCTCTTGACAATACCCCATAGAATTTCAATGGGGTTTTGGTCTGGCAAGTTGGCTGGCCAGTCAAGCTCTGTGGCATGGGCATCAAACCAGGTTTTGGTGCTTCTGGCGGCATGGGCAGGGGCCAGGTCCTGCTGGAAGATGAAATCTGCATCTCCATACAGATCCTCAGCAGAAGGAATCATGAAGTCCTCTAAAACATTCTGGTAGACTGTTGTGGTGACCTTGGATTTAAGAAAGCAGAGTTTACCAACACCTGCACCGGACATTGCACCCCAAATCATGACGGACTGTGGGTATTTAACACTCGACCAAGCAGTATGGGTTCTGTTCATCACCCTTCTTCCTCCAAACTCTTGGACCTTGATTTCCGAATAAAAGGCACACTTTACTTTCATTGAAAAAGAGGACCTTGGACCAATTCAATTCAGTTCAATTCAGTTTATTTATATAGCACCAAATCACAACAAAGTTGTCTCAGGGCACTTTACAGGAGCATTCACATATATAGAAAAGCCAATTAGTAAAGTTCTCGATCTAAGGAAGCCCACTGGCCAATGGCCCAGCCCTTCTTCTCCTTGGCCCAGTTGAGATGCTTCCTACGTTGGCTCAGGTTCAGAAGTGGCTTGACCCGAGTATAGCGCACTTGAAGTGGACCAGTAGGAAACAGGCACTAGCATCTACTAGGTTCTGCCAAGAGTAATGATGATGTCACACTCACTGAATACCGAACTGATTATTTTATTGCTTCACAACATGCAATAAAGCATTTAGAAAAAAAAACTTCATACAAATATTGAAAAAATAAAATATAGAGCTCTTTTTTTCTTTTGTAAAAATAAAATAAAAATAAGTTCAGTTCTTTAGCAACGTTGCTACCCCAGGTAGTGTTGTGTATGGAATCTTATCTGTAACCCAAGATGGGTTTTCCGGATTTGTGAAGGTTCTTCTGCGAAATTATGTCCTGGCTGGTCACATTGTTTACACCTGTCCACAGTTCACATGAGCTCGGCTCGCCATCACAATCAAAGAATCCAGAGTCACTCTAAAACCAATTGGGATTTCCACAGATATTATCCAACAAGCGGTCACCTGGGTCTCTCACTGGGATTTCCACAGATAATTATCAAAGAGTGGTCACTTCTGTCACTCTTAGACAGGTTGTAAGGTCCACAGTTTGGTTGGTCAGTGCACGTGTAAAGAGCATGCCTCAGAATATAGGGAAATATGACATAAACCACGTTGGTTAAATTCAACTCAGTAGAAACTGAGTGCCCTCTGCTGGACCCTCCCAGTATTCCAACCTAAATAACAGATAGGTTTAGAAGCCCAATGTTTCATGTGGGTTACACGAGGAACTCAATAGTTGTAGCCCATCTCCCGGATGCGTCTGAATGTGGTGATTTTTAGCTGTGACTCCTGCCTCATTCCACTCTTTCCGGATCTCCGCCAGATTCTGGAATCTTCTCTGTTTGATAATCCACTGAAGCCCACAGTCATCTCTGTTGCTGTTGCATCTTCTCCTGCCACATTTTGCCCTTCCACTAGTCTTTCCATTGATATGCTTGGACACAGCACTCTGTGAACAGCCAGCCTCCTTAGCTATGAACTTTTGTGTCTTACCCATCCTTTGGAGGGTGTCAATGATGCTCTTCTGGCCAGTTGTTATGTCTGCAGTCTTCCTGTCTGCAGTCTTCCCCATATTGAACCAAACTGAGATAATTGAACCAAACTGAGACAATTGAACCAAACTGAAGCAATTTAATGACACCTGGGGAAACCTGTGCAGGTGCTTTGAGTTTAGTAGATGATTATTGTGTCACACTCAGTTTAAAACATTCATGCCCTGCAAAATTTGAGCTGATTTCTCCACAGTATTCTAATTATTTGAAATCCTGGTTTTGTGGGTTTCATGAGCTGGAAGCCCAAATTATGTAAAAATAAACAAATAAAAACTTGAAATCGTTTAAATTGTGGGTCCTGAATCTATCATCTATTAAAGATTAACTTTTTGAATGGAATTATGGACATTAAACTACTTTTCCAGGATATTCCAATTTTTTGGAAAGGGTGTGTGTGTGTGTGTGTGTGTGTGTGTGTGTGTGTGTGTGTGTG